GGTGTAATATTCTTGTGTTATTCAATGCATCAGTAAGATTTAATCGCTAAATTATAAACACATGGTCTTCTTCATGCTCTGGAGAGTTTGTAGGCCCTGATTGTTTGAAGCTTGGATAACACTATCCACTGGGTAAATCTCTGTCTGGTGGACAGTGCAGTGCATTTTGCAATCACTTATCTGCTATGTGAGAAACCTGCTTGTTGATTTTAAACCCCTGTGGTTGTCTATAAAAGCCAATTCCACATATCTCAACTATGTGCTTTTGTATTTACCCAAATTTATGGCTTGTGGCCACAATAGTTTTTTTTGGTTTGGTGGGGGAGGGAGAAGGGGGCTGCATTAACTTAACTCTTAACCCTTTGTCCCTAATGAGGTACTTTCATCTAATTTCTCCTTACAATATCCCCACTGAATCACACATTTAGGACACAAGAATAGTCGGAAATGATCACCAACTGAACAAACTCTTGATTGTTGAACAAATTCTCCTTGTCAGTACCTTAGGAAATGTATAGAAAATAGTACAGAGAATATGCACAGTGATGTTAGTAGAAAGGGTTAATGTATAAACCAAGTTCTATGTTTTTCTTCCAGGGCATTGGGATTAACAGCCAAAGATTTACAAATTTCATCCTGTTTGTCTGGTGTACCACAAAGATAAGAGAAAAGTTAATAATGGGGTGTGTTCATTTTTTTGCAGATGTCATGAAAGAGATCAACCAGTAATAAGCAGAGCGAGGTTTTATAAAACATTTAGTAATGAATTGATACTATCAGAGTTGCCTGAATTACATTATATACTTGTCATTTAGTTACATATCTGAATTATTTGCCAAGAACTAACAGTTATGACAAACGTGTAGTTACTGAAATTTTTACAACTGTTTGGTTAGAACTGAGTTTTTTTTTAAACTTAACTGGAGTATGTAGTTATTTTTTACTCTTGTGTATGTATTTCCTATATTAAAATAAAAACTTTAATTTATTGCTTTTAAGCATTGCTACACCTCAGGGAACAACTATACTTATAAATGATATTCTCAATTAATGGAATTATGGTTGGATCGCATCATGATTAGATCGCTCTAGCCAAAAGTTAGATTGCTCCCCTTGAAGGCTAGATCGCTCCATCGATGAAGTGAATTCGCTATCAAAATAAGTTACTTCGCTCAAAGTAGAAAACTAAGATAAAGGTAGCAAATCTATGGTATCTAAATTGATAGTTCATTAAATGATGAGCATATCTTACCTAACAATCGATTAATACCGCTCGCTCGCTCGCGCTTGAAATAAATCCGAGCTTCGCAGTAAGAGCAGATAAAGGCTCATGTAAGGGACTCACAAAGTGTAATCAACTTTATTAATTAAAGATGGCGGATATCAGTTTCCTTACATCAAACAGCAAAAAAGGCCACACTAGACAGTATCGGTATTTGAATGTTCTTTTTCAATACACTTCAGACTATAACGTTATAATTTATTCCACGACATTTATTCCATCATCGCTATACATCGTATATCGGTAGCTCGGTGAATACGACATATAAGGCAGATCATCACCTATAAACTTTGAAGATCATCGGTAAGTAGTAGTACCTCTCATTACAACATGGAGCGATAAACTTATGTTGGTAGCGAAGTAACTTATTTGATGGAGCGATCTAACTTTTGGTCGGAGCGATCTATCTGCGAGCGATCTAACCGTGGTGCGAGCTAACCGGATACCAATTGTGAATAAAGTGAATAAAGTTCAATATCAGTGGGGAAAGTACTGTATGATCAATGTCTGTTCTATGGATATGCCCTGGATGAGCTTACCTTTTTTTCTCTCCTTTAATCCTTTGGCTCCTAATTATTTCACATACAATTTTTATGATAGCGAAATGTTTTTTCGCCTAGTCGTTAGCATGGGACCAAGGAGACATTGTTTCCTCACAAGAACTCAGGATTTTTTCTTTTTGCCGCGGCCATGCTCGAGACAAGACACAAAAAAGTTCCATAATTACAATAATACTTTTCTATTCAACCTTTATAATATCGGTTTGGAGAATTTGGTATTGGATGAACTAACAATCTCCTTATCGATGCTTTTCTTTATTCCCACTACTTTTTGGCTTGATTTTGTAAGGAGAAATTCTGTCTCGGTCACTCATAAAAGTGAAAGGGTTATAAGCCACTGTAATTGAACTGAAATCACACACCGGTCAAAAAAGTCATCAATAAGCATTAACAACACGCCATCGTTATTTTGAAAAATTTTAAAGCAGCTTGTCTAGTGACGTTTCAATTCACCTTTTAGGCTTCAGATCTCACCTGTAGTGCCACGAAACTTTTGATGTAAACAAACCGCAAAAGTTCGGCCAAAAAGTCAACCCCCCAATACCCGTGTGCGAACTTCGGCCTCGACATTTTGTTGTAAATAATTTCCACTGTCGTGAAGTTTTTCTATGCTCAAAATTCCGTTCTCTTTTGTTTCATATGTTGATTATTAATCAAGCGAGTTAATATGTCGCTACCACGAAGAACATGGTAGTTCTGCGTGCGAACAGTGATGTATCTGATTAGTTATTTCCAGCGGGGGAGCTAAGCGCGTAGATTTCAAGTAATCCCACGTTTGGTAGGAAATTTGTGCCTACGAATCGCTGTAGAACGTGAGCAAGCCTTGATTACCACACGGAATTTCGTATTGTATCGTATTGTGTAAATCTTAAATCCGCTTTCTTGGAGGTCAGATAAAAAATGTTCACTTACCTATGGTTTTGGGCTGTGTCTTAAGTGGTTTAGTATTTTTCAGGACGGATGATTCCTTGCATCTGGAGGAGTGTTAAGGAAGATGAAGGGTAGGAAGTCAGCGCCCCAGGAACCCATCATGACAATGATGATAATATTTGTAATATCAATAATAGCGCTGATGATAGTAACACTATTAACAACATCAATGATAATGATGGCTATAATAATGATAATGATTTAGGAAAGGTCATTAGAACCTCTAGAAGTGTCTGCTGATCACTCGATCCCAGACCCCGTGCAACATTATCCTTATTTTTAATTATCAGTCATATCTCTTATTTGGTCGTGATGAAATAATCTTGTGTTCCTGTTTACTTCAGTTTCAAGGAAAAGAATTAATGAATAAATAAACAAAAAAAGAATACAATCTAATTGGACTCATTTCCGAGTACAACAATAAATCTTAAAGGTGAAGGATGGGGTAAATTAAATTCTAGTTAATGACCCTCATGATTAACGATTCTCCTCTTCAGTTTAAGAACGCGGGCTTAGAGGAAGAGGATGTTCTGGCCAACCTCACGTGACAGTAATTTATGCGTCGATCAATTCGAAGCTTCAACATCCGCCTCGGGCTTCCCCGGGCATTTGAACTTTTAAAGATTAGTTCGTTTACATAATTTTCGTTATAATGACAGAAAGAAACCAATATTTTGGTTTCTGTGCGATATTTATTAAAGCTATTTTTTACCTCAGTGACGATGAAAATGATTAATATCTACCTCACGGCTTAACCCCTCGAGAAAATGGCTACCTCTAATCACATCCACTTCGGTGAATAGCTGTTAATATTTTACAAAGCTCTGCTGCATTCATGGTAAATTAATGTTGACCAACTGAAAAGTTAAATTTTACGTATAAAAATTGTTGGACGAAGCAATATATTGACCGAACAAGCAAGCTGAAAGACTAATTTCCCGTTTTGCCAGTGCTTGGTATTCTTAGATCTCAAACCATTCCGATGTAAATAGTAAATATTTTCTTGAGGCTCCCATTGAATTAGTTATTTACAATAGGAATTAAATGAATAAGAGTAAAAATAATCGACCAAAATATCAATTTAATTAATTATCAAATTAACCCTGCAATTCACGTTTCTCTCACTATTTCACACATGTTAATTTTTTCGATTTTCTTTTTCTATCTCATTTTGTATAAAAATGGTAACCGGACGTTTCGCCAACGAGTCGTTTCGCCAACTGTACTTTCGCAAACGTCTCCTGGTCAGTTCGCAAACTTTTAGAAGTCAGTTCGCAAACGTTATAGACATTTATATGTCAACCTGCTTTTTAATTATGTGGTTCAGAATACTATATTATGCGTAAATTATTGGGTGTGAAATTTAATGTTACAAACATTTACATGTCAACCTGGGTTTAACTATACGATTCAGAATACTACGATACTGACACATTGCATGCGTAAATTATTGAATGCGAAATCTCACAGCTAATTTCTCGCTTAATTATATTTTACAATCAAATGGACAGTGAATGACTCACCAGACTGACCACAAGTCGATTGGATACCAACAGACCGCCATTTTGAAGTTGCTTTATTTAAACCCAGTCCTTTATGTGATGGCTCCAACAGGTGGCAACACCGGCGATGCCAGACAGGCTTCACGAGGTAAGACTACAGGCATGCAGTGCGATCAGGAGAGGAAAACTTTTTCGTAAATTATTGGTTAATTTAGTTAATAGTAGTTAATATAATGACTTGAAATTTTCTTTATAAGGGCAGGTGTCACTCTAGTCGCCCACGCGTCCCCGCATGTAATAAAGTAATTTAAATGAATCGGTTAATTTGATAGTAGTTGACGTCGCTTGTTTATAACGTATGCGAACTGATTTCTACAAGTTTTGAATTGACTAGAGACGTTGGCGAATCGACTCGTTAGCGAAACCACCGACATTCATAAAATACTTGTAGGTTTTCCTTTGTGTCTCGAATACTGACTTCTGAGAAGATTGAAGTGTCAATGCAGAGACACAAAGAGAGAGAAAGAAAGACTGACATGTTTTTAAACCTAGCTTTAGCGCTTGCGGCAACCAAAACAAATCTAATTCCTAAGGCTCCAAGGGGTGTCGCTCCAAGACGCAGTTAATGAGGTGTTTGGGGGCTATTTTACGATCGAGATCGAGGAATAACAAACCAAAGTTGACGGTTTATACGAATCTTTATTCTTGAAAGCAATCGACCACAAACCACAATCAACGATCAAAATCACGATCAATCTCACAATCAGTTGTAAACTGAAACAATAAAACAAGTAAATTCTATCAATCTAGTGAAATGCTGCGAAATACTTAATAAAAAAATTGCGCGTTAAAAACTGAGCCTTAACGCCGATAACGAGATTAGAATGACAATGAACAATACAAAAAACCAGTACAAGCTACGTTAAAGTACAAAAGTTTCGGTACAAAAATTACAAGAATTTTGGTGGCTGGTTAACAATCCATTGTTCTTATCTAAATGGTGGGCTTTCACTTTCATCTGATACAATTTTGGCTTTTTAATTTTAAATCAATTGAAAATAAGGCACTACAACAAAATGTCTGTTTGTATACTTTTGCCCAATACTGAGAAACTAAACTTAAGAAAACAAAGTTATAAAGGTTTTCACATATCGTTCCCACTTATGCCAAAGTTTTAAGAAAACGAAAGGAAGAAAGTTTAAGAAAGCTTACAAAGAAGTGATTACAGGGACACTGAACTCGCCTTTTATATGCGCGTGGTGACGCTGAGAGGTCCGATTACAAAACCAATAGAAATATAGACAAACAGATAAACATTGTGACTATGTTCGTATCTAGGATCATTCTGAAATTATTAAACTAATCAATAATCAATTCAATAATGAGCCTTCTGGCTAGTGTCCTTAACACTGGCACTTTACTGACCGCAGTGAGTAACAAACCAAATCAGTGAACGGAAACTTAGTAAATATCAAAGCATTGATTCTTTTTGTTCAGTTGATTGATCTATTGTCAGACCTATATCCTATTAACGGTTTAATGCAAAAGGTGTTTTCTACAATGCTGAATTCCGTGGCTTTCAGGGGAAAACATCTATCCATTCGCTGTCTCGTTCTTGGGTCCTCAGTTTATTTAAAGGAGCCTCCCAAGAATCTAGCTTGCTTGCTTGATTTATTTCTTCTTCTGCCTCTTCGTTTCTTCCAAGAGCACAAAGAACTATTGACATGGCTTGATGGGTGTGAATCAGCTCGTCCTGAGTGTCTAACACTTTTTCTTGGTAATCAACTGCCTTTTTCAGGTAGTGGAGGGCTCTAAGAAAGATGCAACGTCAAATAATGAATTTCCTAGACGTTTTTCCTCCAAAAGAGGTTTCACATATCTGCTAGTGTTTTTACCAAGCGAGATTCACATCCATATGATACATTCTCTTAGGAAATGTTACATCATTCCTCGTCTTACTGTTCAAGAAAGAATTCTGCGATGAAAAATATTTGCGTCGTGATACATTCTTTTAGATATTTCACCTTTGAGTCATTCACTGCAATTTGCTGAACCAAAATACAAAAAGTTTGAGGTCGTACGGGAAAATTGACTCGACAGCAGCAAAATTAGAAGATAAGGACGTGATCTAACAAGCAAACAACACACGCATCGCAATTGTCGCTACACTACCTGAAAACTTGTCGACGCGGCACGAATACAATGAAACATTTTTGGACCAAATGAGCACACCTCGAAAGTACTTTTTTCCCCTCGTTCTGGACCACCATGTGTTCCTCTAATCTTTTAACAATGGGAAATTCATGTAAACTTGACATTTTGACGGAGTTGCATTAATTACGATGAAAAGTTTAAAGAAACAAAGGCACGAAGAATAAATGTTTTTGTAAGGGTCGATATTGCTTACACTCGATTTTGTTGTTAACCTTTGCTTAGAGGGTATTGGATCTACAAAATGCCTCATAATAAATAGCAAAGTATGTTTACTCACGTTTCATAGTCCTGTTTCGCGCTGTAAGCCACACCCACATCATACAGAGACTTCGCAGTTTCCTGATGTTGCCCCAACAGTTGCCTTCGGATTGAAATTGATCTGCTGCTGTATTTAATGGCGTTGTCGTAGTCACCCAAGGCGTGGTAACTGTTACCAATCCAACTAAGAGTGGTTGCCGTAAAAGGGTGGTCACCGAGGTTCTCTTCATAAACAGGAAGGACATGTGACAGCCTTGTTTGGATGGCCAGCATGTGTTTTCGCTGCACCATTTGAGAAGCTGCGAGTCAAAAAAAAGCGATCAACCAGAAGAATGTAATCACTGGCGATTAAAATGGCCAAATTTCAAATAAAAATAGCCAGGGATTAAGGAAGATACAATAAGGCGAAAATGGAAAAATATATTTTTTTATTGCTCTCCTATAAAGGCCACATGCTAAAACTAAGAATATTGCGTAGTTTAGACGAGAACTTAAAAAATGCAAGTTCTCTTCGATAATTTCAAATCAATTTCTCTTTTATTTTTAGCCCACTTCACTAATCAATTTTCAAATTCACCGCCGGCGGCGCAGTCAAGGTCCCGGATATGTCTTTGCATTCTGAGCGATGATGTAGTTACACTGCACCATTTGAGAGGTAATTGTTCAAAAGAGAAAAAAAAAGAAACCAGAATGATGCAAGGTCGATCGCCTGTCTATTTTTAAAACTGCGCTTTTTATTTAACTTACAAGACCCGCATTAGCCATACCAATTGAGTACTAGAGTGGTGAAGGAAAATGGCCTTGAGTTCTTTCTACACACCAGCATATGCCACCAACATCACCTCCTAATTGTTGCATCAATTTATCTAAATGGTACTTAAACAATTTCGTTCGTAATGAAGCTTGTGCGAGGTGCTCGTGGATCTTATTGCTAGCTTTCATGGAAAAGATTCAATGGGGATAACTTTCCGCAGATGATTCCCCTTTACGAATAGCTCTTACCATGAAAGCATTAAGAAATTTAATTGCCACTAACCTGCTACATCGTTGAAACAGGCAGCTAACATGACATGATCTTTGATCCTGTTTAGTTTCTCTACTCTGTCCCGTCGCAATTTCAAGGCGATCTCGAGATATTCATAGCCCTCATCAACGCGCCCCTCGCGAACATAACAAAATCCAAACTTGCTCATGCACTGGGCACGAGTGGCGTCCTTCACGTCCATAAGTGTTGATTGAATGTCAATTGCTTGAGTCAACATTTCTCTGGCCTGATACAAGGCTCTTGGACAAATGTGAGGGGTACATGTGCAGCTTAACACTATCTTCATTCCGATGTTCGTCAAGCAAGCACTGTAGAGGTGCAAGTGGGAGCGACATTGATACGCAAGCTTGCAAAAGAGCGACTGAAATTCTTGTTTGCGCATCACCTTGGCAAGAAATCCAGCTGCCTCGTTAAAGGCGTCGATGCATTGCTCCCTGAAAGTTTGGTCAAGCTCAGGGTGATCGTCTCCACACCAAGCCATGGCTTCCCGAATGTTGTCCTTTTCAGATCTGTACTGATCAATTGCCAACTTGCAATCTTTACTCAAGAATGTTTCGCAAAGTGTAACAGCCAAGTCACTGTAATGACGAATGAAAGTTGATTTGGCGTCTATGTGATCGGACTTCAGTGAAAAGAAATCTCGTATGAAAGGATGGAGGGAATACTGACAATTTTTCCTGTCGAAGCGAAGGAGGTTGCTATGCCTCAAGGAATTTAGGCAAGTTTGCAAATCAGCCGTGACAGATGACCCAAAGACTGCTTGAAATTGCTCTTGCGTGAATCTGTGTGGAAATGTTGAGAGCATCAAAATAATCTTCTGATTTTCTTGACTTAAGCGATCAAAACAGATTTCAAGAGATTTGGCGATGCGATCCTCGTTGGCTACAAGTTCAAGTTCTCTAGCAAGACAACTAGGTGAAGTTGTGGAAAGTTGGGCCGCCTTCTGGGGATTTTCTCCCTTTAGAATCGAGATCACTGTGCAGATCATCAAGGGAATACCACCACAAACGCTGACCAGCTCCTTAATCAGATCGTCGTCCAGGCCATCCTCACACTTTGAGAACATAGAGGCTGAATCATTGTCATTCAGAGGTTCTAGGTTAATCAGTTCGAAAGGAAGAGACCCATTGAAATCATAGGTTTCTCGTGATGTGAGGACAAGCTGGATGTTTGGACTTTGTCCGAGGTATTTAAGAAATGTCAAAAAGTCGCCCTGCGTGACTTTACCCCACATTTGAGTACAGCAATTTTCAGATTTTAATTCCTGATGGTATTTATCGTTGCTCAATTGATCCTCAAGATGCAGTAAGTTGTCAATGTTTTCAATGATCAACACAACACTTTTTCTCTTTAGAGAAGATATGCAACTTAATGCTTCAGTTATTGTGTTTTCACCAGGAACGTACCCAAGGGTCTCGATTATTTTGCTTGCTAAATCTTCTACACAAGTGACACCTCCAGGTTTAACGTACGCGACACACGTTTTCCTTTCGATCATCCTATGGGCGACCTCTATTACCACCGACGTTTTCCCATATCCAGGTGGTGCTACAATTTCAACAGCCATGTTTGAAGACAGGGCAGTTATGATACGTTCGCATGTTTCATTGCGGCCCACCAAATCCGTCCGATCTGGCAAGTTACCATAATGACCAGATTGTTCCTTCACTTCTGCAAGTGAAAAGACAGAAAGACCATTTAAGACCATTTATCCCTTTCCACTATTCATTGGAATAAAGCACAGCAGCCCAATAAAAAGGAAGAGCAACTCTGGTGACAATAAGAGTGTGAGTTTAATAATTGCGTGGAAGTTGGTAGGAAAACAACAAAACTTTGGATCTTACTTTCACTTATATACGATCCACAAAGAGAAAAAAGCCACAGATAAACCTTTTGTAGACGGAAGGTTTAGAAGGGCTAAACGCTTTAAGCATTCCTCAGAAATCGAGCAGCTGAACTCTTTGGGTAATCGGATCCTAAGTTGGGGAAAATCGCCGTTTGTAAACGTGGTTGTTGATTTTGCAATTTTCAAAACATGATTTTGGCATGAAATTGCCTTTGGCTTAAATTCAGGCGCAAACAGCCTTTAATAAGCTTTCGCAGTTTGAATGCGACCATGGTGATATACTGATCAAGATTGAAAACACCACTTGAAGTGGGGAGAAGGCATTTAGCGTGAAGCTGTTAGTAATCTACCGTCGTATACAAGCTACAACGACGTAAACATCAACATATAGTTTTGCGAAGATTACTTTTTGATGAGGTTTCTACCCACTTAGCTCCTCGAATAATTGAGCTAAGTAAGGACAAGGAAATGATGACAAACCCATTGAAAATGACTGTTCCTAGTTACATAATCATAGCACAATTTCGACCAAGGCTTCTTAACTAGCTAATTCTATGAACATCACGGGTGAATTAACGCTTTCCTTCTTACCTTTGTTAGGAAAGGAATCCCGCTCTTCTCTCTCGAAGCTAGTTGAAAACATCTGACCAGTCGGATCTGGCATGGTTAAGCTGTCCTTGAATGAACGACCAAGTCCTTGCAAGGCTGAATCTGAAGGAAGAGAAAAGGTATTCAATGTTATGAGAGGATAGCTTAGTTAAGTCGATCTTACTTCGCATGTGCGAGAGTAGTTTTACGGACCTTGAGTTGTAAAAAAAAAAAAAAAATCAGAGCTAGAGTGTCAGAGT